TTTTGAGAGAGGGGAGCATCCTATTTGAATGATCTAAAAACATTCAATTTGTAATTATTGGGAGAAGAGGTGATTAGTTTTTGGCAAAGGCAGGCCCAGCCATTTCGAAGATACAGTTTTATTATTATTTACCGCACTAGTTTATTCTTGCTCAAAACAGCAAGGTGTATTTGGTGTGTTAGTTTAGGGCATTAACGTGTATGTTCTTTATATAATATGTAATTTTGAAAAAATACTCTTGAATAGGAATATTTTTTGTTAAAATATAAATATCACGATTCCATGTAACATTTCCCCCGACTCCGGCGTTCTCGCATTGATGTACACGTATATGATAGAACATTTAGTTAGGTCAAGAATCGTTCTTAGTTCTTAGTTCTTAGCATATGGTGGAACGCATAATAAACGCAGATAATCTTTGAAATGGATTTACAACGTGGATAATTATTAGGCCAAACACAGTAAACGCACAACGAGGGGAAAAGAACAGCATAATATACCAACAGCATTCTTGGTCGGTTATGGTTTCACATAAGTTTATAACGGACTTCGAGATTTTCCAGAAGAACGCGGAGATATCTCACAAAACCGCACACATCTAAATGTCTAATATGTTCAATGCTCTATAATTTATGATATTAGCAGATATATGTGTACAGAAATGGACGGCATTAGTAATCTACCTATCACGGTAATTTATAGTAGTGTGTTCGGTCTTTATGTAAGTCGAAAAGATCGTATTAAAATCGCTAAACGGGAATACGGCGGAAATACGAAACGGCAATTACACGACTCATACGTGCATGAAAATAACAATCAATAAATTATGATCGATAAAATAAAGAAATAAATAACTGAGATTAGGGAAACGAGGGCCAGGCGCTTCTTTAAGTGCGGCGCAGCTTCTTGCTTTCGAGCTTTTACGTGATTTTAAGTCTGAAGCTCGGAAAGTAAAAATTTCATAAGAACATTTTGAACAAAACTCATCTAACTTTAGTTTCTATTATATGGCACCCAGACAAATATCTTGGACATACACACATTAGAAAATTGTGACCAAAAGCTGCAATCAAAAATTTAATTTAATTATGCGGGGGGGACTGGCCAAGAGGAGTGAATTTTATACGATTTTTGAGAAGCTGTAAAAATACAAAAATTTGAAAAGTAAATATTCAATGAAAAAAACTTATAAGCAAAACTTTAGTTTCTATCATATTATACCCAGACAAATATGTTGGAATTGCATACATTCTGAACTTGTGATTAAAATTTTAATTTAATTCAAGGGGTTATTCTAGTCTAGAAGCATGAATTTTATACGATCTTTTGAAACGGCGCAAAAAAAATCAAACAAAATTGTTACTATAATATTTTTACAAGTTATTAATTAATGTTTGGAAAATGAAAAAAAAAAAGAATAGCCAAAGTTTTAATTCTAGAAGTTGATGAAGTTGGGGGTTTCAAAAAACAGATTTATCTCTGAGGATAATTTAATTTTTGCAAAATTTTCTTATATACATATTCTGAATTATAAAAATTGAAAATATAAAAAAAACATTTTTTTGAAAATTCTAGACCAGATTTGAGGATTTAAGGATTTTTTTTATATCAAGACTTTAATCAATTACAAATCAAAAAATATTATATTAATATTATTTAAACAATTTGTCATATCACATTTGTCTTAAAATTATTGTCAATTATATAAAATTTTATTATTGGGCGTAATATCGTTTTAAATTTATATTAAGGTATTGCATTTTGCGAAAAGAGAAGTAACTTCCAGGCAAAGTAATACAGAAAACCAATCCTTTCCATTTTTATGGTGTTTCTATGAATTATAATCTAATTAAATTTTGCTATTGATTTAATACAATTTAAGATTATGATTTGTGTTACTTATTAATTATTGAACAAAATTGATGATTCGGTAATCCGGTCTACGCTTTAGATATCACAGTTTCTTACATTTATATGCCCTATGTATTATTTTTGAATGCAATTTGATCAACAATGTTTTTTAATAATATTACTACCATTAAGAATATTTTTAATATTAGGATTGCATTCAATTATATCTATAAATTTAATATTATGGTTAGTATTACACATTCATTAAAATAGTAAAAATAAAATTCATAATCGGATCTAAGCCTTGAAATATCATAGGCTCTTACACTTCTTTACACAAAATACTTTTTTTAATCTTAATTTAATCTTTTTTATTGATGATATAAATCTATAAATTGAATCAACACCATAAGTATTTCTAGTTTAAGCTCATTACATTTTAAGGTAAAAATTAGATAATGGACTTACAAAATTCTAATTTATTTAAATTTACTGCATTTTTTTCTGCATTTTAATTTTTTTCTATCAATAATTGATATATATATAAATAATATAGTATATAAAATAAATATAAATTTCCATAAAACAGATTTCAAGAAAAAGCTGAACCCATTCATTATAAACTTATTAGTTCAATAACATATGTAATATTTTAATTAAGCTAATTTTTAAGACCATAATCATTTATCTTTCGTGCAAGTGAGAAAATATCCTTAGGTCTGCATAAGAACTATTTAACAGAAAGCTCATCTAAGGGAATTCTTGAATCTGTAGGTAGCACGTCGACTTTTAGATCAAAGTTCAGGTCGTGATTAAGGAAAATAATTTATCGAAAGACTTATAATTAAGTATATCGTTCCTCTGCGCAGCGTAACAAAACAGTTAGATGTTAAAAGTGCAATTGCACATTAATTACAGAAAAATATTCTACATATTTAATAATTAATAATACAAAAACTAATTGCAATAGGGGATAAAGTGATCTGGGGCGATATAAGCTGACACAATGCAGGTCCAGGAGTTAAAATGAAAAGTTCATTTTTTTCCCAACTTCTGGTTATGAAAGAAGACAAACTTTTAATTTTTTAAATCGCCTCTGTCAATAATTAAATTACATATATAAAAAGTGTACATAATTTATTATTTTCTATCTATTCAAATCGAATTATTATCAAAGCAAATTATTAGCCAATTCACCATGCTGTGTGTGAGTTTATCGCCAATACAAAATGTCATATAAAGTGGTTTTATAATTAACATTCATTGCAAATTTGCATTTAATGAACTAATAAGCGTATAGTTTATAAATGATTCGATCGATTCATAAATTTGTTAGCATAATAACATTTTGCGTATTAACTTACGACCAAATAGTTTCATGAATGAGCTATTGCAATTATTGCAAAATATTATTTTTTGAGACTTATGTGTGAAACGTAGTTGAATAGTAATTCTGTGAGTTGTTATGCTGAGGTTTGCAAAATAAATTTAAAAAAAAAATAGGAAGAAAAATATAGTACCAAAAAATATATAATAAAATAATAATAATAATATGAATAGGAATAAATTAATTTACATATAATGATGATTTAATAAGAAGATATAAAAAATGATCTAATGAGTAATCTACTAGGCTAGGATATTCATTGATAGTTTTCTCTTAGGCCTGTATCAAGTAATTGTGCAATTATATTTTTAAAATTTGTCATATATTTTTAATTTTCATAAGGTTGAAAATTAGAGAATGAGTACTACTACTGAATTTAAATACCATATTTTCTTTAGATTACGAATATTTCCCAAATACTCATATTTTGTGCTACTATATATTTTCTTGGAGTAATTTTGTAGATCTTAGTACTGTAGTTCAACTAATAACTCCAAAATGCGTTGAGAATATAATTTAATAAATAACAAATATAGGAAAATCTAATTTCTTTTCACATATTATATTTTCGTTGGAAAATATATTTTAATCTGTCTATATGGGTTTATCTCAATAATATATAACGAGATTAGCAGAAGTTGCACATTTTCTTTCTCATGAGTTTTGTTTTTAGATGGTAATTTGTTTTTATAGTAAATTTAAAAAAATAATCTCAAAAACCAAAATCCATCAGTTACAAGATAAAATAAAATCAATTACAGATTGAATTGAATTGAAAGTCAGATTTAAACAACATATTAGAGATGAACATATAAACATTTTTGCATACTTTACGTTTCGGGGCTATCTGAACATTTTGGCGTAGCTTAGAAAAACTTGATGTTTGTCGGTGTGTATGCAGTATGTATGTGTGTATATTTGGATACAATTTTCGCCTAAAATTTCAAGAGCACGTATCACCCGATTTGAATGGTTTAAAAAAAACATTCGTTTCGCATTGGGAGGGAGACGTGCTGGTAAGTTTTCGGCAAAGGTAGATGCAGCCGTTTCAAAGATACAGGACAAAATTTGCAAAGACTATACTAGTTTTTGAGAGAACGAACCATCCGATAAGAATGATTTAATAACATATTGCTTGGGGGCGTTCATTAACCACGTGAGGTTTTTAGGGGGAGGGGGGTTTGACAAACATTCACCAAATATCACGTGGGGAAAGAGGGGTAGTATGATATCACGTGTATTTATTTTTTAACTAATTTTTTTAAAAAAGTTCAAACATTTTCAAAAAAAAAAATCAAAAATTGTACAGTTTTTTTCACCTAGCTATGAATACATGTGATGTTTGGTGGAGGATGGGGTTAATTTGGATTGGATCACCAAAGGGGAGGGGAGGTCCAAAAATCCTTGAAAACTCGCTCACGAGATTAATACAGACGGGGCGTGTTGACGGTGTGAAGAAATGATTAGTTTTTGGGAAAGATAGATTCGGGGGTTTCAAAATTTTGGAAAAAAATTTTCCTTGGTTGTTCAGATATTTGCCTTAAGTCAAAATGCCAGTAGTTTAGTATAAATTTATATGTCCAAGTATTACACTTGTTAAATAGATTAGAGAATATTAACTGTGATCTCGTACACCAGGTCAGGTAACTACGTCTGATTGAAATACAGTATGTATGAGTACATATTCTAATAAATTTAAAAAAATCCGATAATCCTTTCTGCCAGTTGGCAAAATGTAAATTATGCATTTATTTACCCCAATATGTCACTTTCCGATCGTATGTGGGTTGAGGCATTAACTTCACAGGCAAAAGCACAGTCTCTATCATCCAGGTACGTCGAATATATAGAGGTAAGTAGTGCCGGCGTGTTCCGTGATTTATTTCAAAGTAACCGTTGGTTTCGCCTATCTTTTGAGCTCAGCACGAGCCGTATCTTCCGTAATCTGGCCGCATATGAGTCATAACATTGAAGAATGATTTAATGTTCTGATAAAGTACGAAAAACACCCACACGAACCGCGATAGCACAATGCGTTTTCTTCGCCGTGATAACTGGCCAGATATTCAAGAGGGAATCCACTCTTAGGGATAGCAGATACAGGAGAATAATCGATATTACATCGCGGTATCTTTGGATTTATATCATCATACGGAAATGTAAACATTTTTGCTAATATTTTAAGACCTACGTATTAATTCCAACTGACCTTTCATTAAGCCGACATTAATTACAATCATAGTTTTCATGTTGAACAATCAATTTCATTACCTACCAAGGAAGGTGTGATTTGGATCTTATTTATTTGTTTCTTGCAATATTTGTTCAATGTTCTGAACATAAATCATAACTTAAGTGTCGTACAAGCTGTTGGGCTGATTTGACTCATTACTACGTCAGTTTTACAGATGGCAACCCAAAGAGTTGTCTCATCTCTGTGTGATAAATTATAAATTTTATTATTACAATTTCTGTAATAGGACAAATATTTTATTTTTGCAGCAATGCTGAATGAGAGCTATTTTAACTTGGAAATATATTGTTTCTAAATTTCCAAGTGATAACGGATGTCACTACTGCTTGACATCAGGCTCCTCGCAGCGGTATCGAACCCGAACCCTCTGATTCAGGTGCAATCGCTTCTAGTTAAAAATAATTTTATTTTGAAAATCGATATTGTATGTTAAACGTACAAGAATTTTATAATTCAAATTGTCAATAAATTAGAGATAAAAGTATGTAATATTTTTTTTAAAAAAAATAGAGATATCAAAATAATATAATTAAGATAATTAAGCGAATTAAAATATCTAGTTGTTTCTAATTTTTTTTGAATGGATCTGCAAGAATTTTCATAGTGCCTGATTCGGTAATTATATTTATCAATATTATAAAAGAATACTGAGATTAATACCAAGATGTATTAATATCAACTTCTAAGTGTGAAGTATTTATTTCAACTAACCTTTCATTAATCCGACATTTATTATACTCATAGATCAATTTCATGTATAAAGGAATATGTGATTTAACAATGGATCTTATTTAATTTAATTAATTTTATTATTTGTAGAACTTTTTACTAGTTTTATTATTTATTTAAAGTTTTCTATATGCGTTACAATTTTAATTCAAATTCCATTGAATTATATAATAAAACATAAAAGAATTTAACCATTATGATCTTTCATTTATTTTTCAATAAATTTATTTTGCACATATCATCATAACAACTTATAGAATATTATCATTAGTCCGATTATTGTAGAATAATTATTTATTAAAGTTTTTGTTTGAAAATTAGAAAAAAAACACGAATGGAATATTTTATACCTCATTGCAGATAAATCAGTGTCATTAAATATATATTTTTTGAGTTCTCGATTGAGGTTCTAAATTCTAATATATTTTTTATAAAGTTCTTCATATAAAAAGTCTACAACTAGTTTTCCTTCTTTCTATATTTATTTCTAATAGTTTGCTAGTTTTATCATTATAGAATTTGTATTTCTTTGAAAAATCACTGTAGAAGAAAGTGATGAAAATCCGAAAGATTGGAAAGCATTGCAACCACATTTTCTCAAGAAAAATATAATAGTTTATGCTTCTTTTTTTAAAATTATATTAAATGCATATTGAATCTTAATATGTATTAAATATACTATTATAATTATATATTATTATTATTGTCATATAATTATAAGTCATTATAAAATTATGCCTTATAATTAAGTGTAAATATGCATGATAATTAATAACATAATTATGTATACTGTTACGATAAAAGATTTGAAGAATAATAGATAGTTACATGAAAAATTTAGTAAACTACAATTAGTCTGTAAAAAATAATCAAAAAAATTGCTAGAAAGATGTAATATATAACATTATTATTATAGGTATAATTATTATAAAATCATGTATTCTGTTACAACAACAAATTTAAAAAATAATAGGTGATTTGATAAAGTTATAAAAATAAAACAAAAATGCATAACAAAAATAAAAATTAACTTAAATTACGATTAATTTTAAGTTAAATATTATCAGTTTCGATAATAATCTTGCATCTCTAGTCTTCGTGCCTTCGACTAGGTACTTTGTTCGATTAACGTTATTTATTTGACCTGCCTACGGAACATGCGTTAACAATGTTTAAAATTATATAGTATGGTAAATTTATATGCGAACACCTACGTTATAATCGCACTCTAAACAATAGAATTGGATAAAGTATTAGGATTGAAAGTTACTTATTAATAATAACTTCCAAAGCTTAAATTTCAAACATTAGCACCATTAGTTCATTTTCCCTCGAGGGCATTTAAGCACCTGCACAAACGTAACTGATACATCCATCCATATACATAAATAACCTAGCAGTCGAAGTGCACATTAAAATTTTCGCAATATTTAGATTTATTATGCGTTTTCTTCATATAAATTTTAATAGAAATGTCATTATAATATATTGTAGAAATTAACATATAACACATACTCTAAAAGAGTATGGAATAAGTACAAGGTTACCTGTATGCTGGAACGTTGATTATAATAATCGCGTGAACTTTATTAAAGAGAACAAGTGCAGCATTTCAAAAGGTGAATGAGATCAAAACATTTATAAAGTTATCTTATAGGCAATATGGATGTTTTACACTTTACATAATACGGCGATATTTCCCGAGAAAAATGTATTTGAAAGTACTGGGGTTATTTATTCAATAGCACGGTTTATGCAAAAATATATTTGATTTTATTTTTTTGAACTAAGAGCTTCTTTGTTTTACAAACAATTATTAACTTCCCGTAGGGTAAGTTATTGTAATGGGCCGAAAATCGGAATTGAAAATTTTTACATTTCTCGACGTTTTGAAGGTTTCTGAATATTTTGTCATACCTCAAAAAAATGGATGTGTGTGTGTATGTATGTATGGATAAAATTTTAAAAATACTGGGGGATTAAAAGTACTGGGGTTATTTATTCAATAGCACGGTTTATGCAAAAATATATTTGATTTTATTTTTTTGAACTAAGAGCTTCTTTGTTTTACAAACAATTATTAACTTCCCGTAGGGTAAGTTATTGTAATGGGCCGAAAATCGGAATTGAAAATTTTTACATTTCTCGACGTTTTGAAGGTTTCTGAATATTTTGTCATACCTCAAAAAAATGGATGTGTGTGTGTATGTATGTATGGATAAAATTTTTCGTCCACGTTTTCGGGCGTACTGATCTACCGATTTGAATGGTTCAAAAAACACTTGATTCCTATCGATAAGGAGATGTGCTGATTAGGTTTTGGCAAAGGCAGGTCCAGCAGTTACGGAGATAAAGAGCAAAGAGTGCAGAAAATAGAAATCGAGTTTTTGAGAGAACGGAGCATCCGATTTGAATGATCTAAAAAACATTCAATTAGTAATGATTGGGAGAAGTGGTTATTAGTTTTTCGCATAGGCAGGCCCAGCCATTTCGAAGATACAAAGCTAAATGTACAAAAAATGGCAGTTTTTGAGAGAACTAAGCGTCCGATTTAATTGATTCAAAGAACTTTCTGCTTGTCTTAACAAAATAATTGATTTTGGAAAAAAAATTGTTTTAACTTTTTTTTTTTAGTATATCGAAAATAATTCAGATTTAATTTTAATTCTGACTATAGTTCTAATATACTTTACAAATAATTTCAACTTTGCAATTCAGTTTATATAATTCTTATAAATATTACACAATGTTACAATATTTATAATAATCTATTTGAAAACATTCAGTATTCCTCGAACATTTCGTTACGGTACAGGAAATTCCAGCAATTTGCCTTAAGGCACGATGCCACCCACCCCACTAGTTAATAATTATTTTAGTATAAATAAAGTTGATTGATAATCAAATTTACCTAAAAAACTTTCACCATTCGATTCCGACGGTTTTGAACTTTTTGTTCTTATAATATAAGACCTTAAGGCAAATTGCTAGAACTTTTCGTGCCTATATTTAATATTTTTAACAGAGAATATTTTACTTTTTTATTGGACCTGCCCAAAAATTTAATCTCTTCCTTCAGTAAATAAATGTAAAATGTTTTTTGAATCATTTGAACCAGTTGCTCAAAAACTAAATCGACATTTCTTGCACTTTTGCCCTGCCTTTGTCAAAAAACTAACTAGCAAACTAAATATTTGTATAGAAGAAAGAACATTTATAAATTAAATCTATATAACATTCGCAATTCTTATACGATAACCTCTAATATCATGAATTTCTTTTCGCGTATGTGACCTATACCTAAACCATACCTAAACATTACATTTTACGTGGTTATACGCCTTATAACTACTATATCGTACGTTCCTTTACCACCATACCGTATACGCTCAATCCTTACACTTATATCTAAACCGCCTAACATTTATTATCTTACACCTACAATTTTGCTTACATACTATTTTCACCCTTACCGGGAATCGAACCCCGGTCCGCCGCGTGACAGGCTACGACCTTAACCACTCAACCACCGTAACGCTACAATCAACCGTCTTTTTTCGTGTGTTGTCGCGTCACCTTAATATTAGTTACTAATTAATTAGAAAACGCTCAATTAATTAGAAAATGAACCAAAGAAACAACAGCGTGTTCCATAATATATTTTCAGTGGGGGACCCGATAGAGTAGTGGTTAAGATGCGTGACTGTCACGCAGAGGAACCGGGTTCAATCCCCGGTACAGGCGATAGATAGGTAGAGATAATACATAGGGCGTAAGGTAGAAATATAACACATTAATATTAAATAGGTATGTAGGGTGTCTGATATATATATATATATATATATATATA